GGGATCCTGCTTGGCATCCAGACAGCATTAGTGTCTTCTGCAGAAACATGAAATTTGGGCAGCAAAACCAATGCAAAGAATCAAATACAGACAGGCATGCCATTAAGAATAGCAGGAAAAGTCATATCTGTGGATATCTAGGGACCAGATAAACTCACAGAGTGGGATTCAGTCCAAACCCAGGCTCTGTAGTCCCAGTGAAGGCAGTGGCTCCTGTTCCTGCAACTGTAAAAACATATGTAATGCAAAAATACAACCAAATCTCTGTTCTCACATAGTTTTCTTCCTTAGGAGTTAAATATTAAGGGCTGTATTAGATGTGTGTCCCTTTCAACATCTGGCACCACTGGCATTAGGTATTCTGGCCCAGAGTTAAACCTCTGGAACAGACCTTGTGTTCCTCAGCAGAAGGCTGAAGGACACGCCCACATCACTTAGACACAAAAAGTGAAGATTTCTTCCTTTATTCTGGTTTCTCCATTTTGCCTTTTTGGTCACAAGAGTGAAATGAGCAATTTCAGAGGACAAGCATCAAACATTTTTGATGTCTGCTCCGGGGTGAGATGATTCACCCTTTGCAAGTGGCTGTTTCTCCCCACCAGGACATCTCCCTGACCAGAGACAGATGCTGATCCTGAGGATGCCTAGAGAGAAATGAATTTTCCCTGGCAACTTTGCCCAGTCACTGTTGTTCTGTCTCATGCATGCTGAGAAATGATGGTCTTGAAAAGCTTTGAGCTGGCTCCTGTTGGGTGTTACCAACCAGATCTGGGAGAGGTGGATGCCTGGTAAAGGGTCAGGAGCTCTCATGGAGAGTTTTCAGGATGCTTTGTTCTCCCTGTCAGGTTGTGTCCACACAACCAGCACTTCTGTGCCCAGGAGCAAACCACAGTATATCATGCACATGCAGTGGAAAAAAAACCACAATAAATAAAAGGATTTTACCCTCTGATTTTAGCAGTCAGGCACATGCAACCAGTTTGGAATTGCATTTCAGTACAATTTAGGAAGAATGGAGGATGCAGTAGCAGCTGAGGATGCTCTGATGTTAATGATGCTCCGTGTATATCTGTACTAAAGAGCTAAGTTCAGCTAAATACACATTGTACTTTGTGTATGAAAACACACCAGCAGAGCTTGAACAATGTTTTGAACCTCATGGTCTTTCACCTTCTTATGATTCAAGTTGCAATTTCCCATTGGCTTTCTTTTGGGGAATTCATCCATGTGAAGAATTACTGTGTGATATGACACTGTGTGATATGACACTCTTCAGTGTCTGAAATTACTTAGGCTTCTGCATATGCCTTTCTCAATGGACTTTGTGCTTGCAGAGAAGTCTCAAGAGGCCTTTGTGTATCAGTATAACCTGTAAAAAACAAATATTTGGTGTGTTCATTCTCTTTCCCTTCTACTTGTCAATTTAGTGGCAACGCAACCTGCTGTAGCTCTGAGAAGAACCAAGTTATCTGATGGAAAGCTGTATTTTGGCTTTTGACCGTGTCAAGGTACAAAGTTACTGGCCTGTTGGGTCTAATACTGACCTTTTTTGGTCAAAATTGGTTTAATTGGTAATGGGATCTGGGGTTATTCAGCTTTGTTATGAGGTGGAAACACAGATATCAACTGCTGCTTTCTAACCTTTTTTGTGTTTTGAGAAATTGTTTTTAACATGTATACTGCTGTAGATGACACAATAAATGTATTATCATTTTGTAAAAGTCTGTTCTGATATAAAATTGCACCAAAGAGAACTTTTTGTCTGTGAACTTAGAGGGTAGTGTATTCTTTTCCTGAAGCAGAATCTCTTTGGGCTAAAAAGGTTCTCTGACTTCTTCATGGGAAGGAGACTCTGGAGTCTGCTGGGCAAAGTCAGTCCTGGAGCAGCCAGGGGTGAGGTCTTTGCCATGGACAATGTTCCTGCTCCAGAAACCAGTGGTGTTCATCTCCCTTTGGCACCAGTGTCACCAAATCAAATGTATCACACTCTCTAAAAACCCCTGTGTCTCTGGGATGGATCCACAGGTCTCTGGGGAATAAATATTATTTCTACCGGGTATAAGCAGGAGAAGAAATTCAGTTGTCCTCAAAGATGTTGCCAGTTGGAAAAGGTGGAAGGAGATTGGTCTCTGTAACCCCTGATGTGCCTCAAGGCTTCCTTTCTTTTATAGTCAAAGCAAACCTCAAGAGTTTGATCATCAGGGTAATTTTCAAAACATCAACTACATGCAAACTCCTGAAGCAGAGGATTCCACAGAAGATGAACTATTCCTGATATTTCCCCCATCTCCACCCTTTGTTTCAGCTTCCATAAGCCTTTGCTTGTCCCTCTGAATCTCCCCCACACATCTTTTCACCCGGTGTTTGGCCAAAGTCCAGGGCTTTGGAGTTGGGTGCTTTGATGGAACAAAGGCCACACATTTAATTGAGGCCAGAGATGTGTCAGGGAGCAGCAGGGCTGGAGATCCCCATCCCACAGGACACGGGAGCAAAGGGAGCCATGGGCAGGTGGGGAATTGGGAAGGATGGGGCAGATCCATATATTTTCATTTTTGCTACATTCCAAATCACTGTAAATACCCTTCACATGGATTTCCACTGTGACCTGAGGCAGCCTCAGCCCTTTTTTATTTAGGGGTACAGGATGTGACTCCCTTTCCCACCATGTGCAGAATGGCTGCACCAGACAGTGTCTCCCTAATCAAAATCAAATCAAAAAGCAGATGTAGAAGAGGGAATTCCTAATTTCTAATTTTATTAGAAATTATTAGAATTTCTAATAAATTTATTTTAGAATTAGAATCTAATTTTTAATTAGAAATTATTTAGTTATTTTTCTAATAACCCTAATTTCTTAACATTTTATGTAGCCTAAGTGATTTTCATTTTTTAGGCAGAGAAAGAAAAGGCACCTCCAAAAGTATTTCAGCCACTGCACAAGCCCTATGTAAATATCCACTATTTCAAAGACAAAATTCCACACTCGAGCACATTTGTTCCAAATCCCAGACACCTGACGAATGAATTTTTGAATTTAAGTTTTTAAATTGAATTTATTATTTATATATTATTTATTAAATTTATAAATGAAAATTAAATTTAATTTAGTAGGTGTGTCAACACACCAAGGAGGAACTACCTTGAATTCAGTTGTATTTTCTGCAATTGAACAAATCCTCCTCAGATACTCAATTCTTGCTCTGGGAGCATTAGGCAGCCTTGGGGAAGTTCTCAATGTGCAAAACAGGTAAAGCTGCCTGCTGGAAGGATTTATTTTAATTTGGAGCCCAGTCAATCAAAATTTCTGAGGAAAAAACTGGCTGACACTATCAGAGTTAGAAATCTACTCTCAGTTAGAAATTTCAGTTACCTGAACAATCTGTCGTTGCTGCAACACCTGAAAAAGAGGCTGAAAAAGCAGGATTTGATCTTTTCAGGGTGTCATGTAGCTTGTAATAGGATTTAAAATGAATTCTTGGAGAGTTAAACTCTGCAAAAGACCTCAGGGGATTAGAGGAGGAGAAAGGAGCTGATGGAATTTAATGATGTCTTGCAGCTGCCCTTTGGGAGTGGTTTAAAACTCATTTAGGAGAGGTTTGGGAGCCCTGCCTGGCTTTGTGGGCTGCACACATCCAGCTCCAGGAGGTGGCAGTGGCTGCACACAGAACACACAGCTCAGCTAAACACGGCTTGGGACACTTTTTGCTGCCTTCTGAGAAGCAAAACATCCCTGCCTGAAGCATTCCCGACTCAAACACACCCAAAGGAACTCAGGTGTGCCGCCAAAAAGGGATCAGGATTCTTTTCACAGCCCAAATCAAATATTTATCCAAGAAATTTTAGAACTCCCCAGGATTATTAAGCTTTTATTTTATAAAGCCTCAAATGAAATATCCAAACTGACACAAATTAAATGTACAAACTCGAATGAAATATCCAGACTGACATAAACTAAATGTACAAACTCACAAAGGCTGTAATGGTCACTTGCACCTTATAGATGTACATCATACATTTTGTACACAAATTATATGACTATGTTTGGAAATAAAAGACAGGAACAGAGGTTACTTTTACAGGTAAAGCTGATAGGAAAGTCAGAATAGACAAAATTTCTCCTTACAACTAACATATGACATTGTGACAGATGGGTTAAATGCCTAATTAATAAATAACTTATTTGAATCGTATTTATAGAAGCCTGGACAAATCATCTCTTCTCTAATAGAACTAGAGATGAAGCACCTAAAATCAGCAAAGAGATTTCCAGGAGTCAAATGTCTGCTGCTCGAAATAATTAACCAAGAGCAGAGCAAACTGAGGGGCTGGAATATTGTTTTTTTTAAGCTGAATTGATACTGGAACTCAGGGAATAAGTGAATGGCTGTGTTCTCCCAGCCTGAGGCAGGTTCTCCTGGGAATTCTCCTGTCTTGGCCCATCTCGTGTCCCTCCTGTGCCTTTTCTCTGCTCCTGGAGAGGTTGAGGTCGAGCTCAGCTCAGTCCTGAAGAGGAAGGTCACCCAGAGAATGGTGCAAGCACAATTCTGGCTCACTCTGCTTCACGCACAAAATCCCCATAAATGGGGTGTTTCACTGACTGATCCTCGAGGTTCTGAACATCTGTCCCACCAAAAAACAACAGCTGGGCACCAAGATTAGGTCTGTAAGTCATTCTGAGCGCAGCTGGCACCTGGCATTGGGTTTGCTCTGATTTATTCCTTCACACATCATCTGCCTAATATTCCGCTGCTCCATGTTTTCCTTTGGACAAGAAAGGGTTTGGGGTCCTCTGGCCTAATTTAATCTCCATTCAACAGGCTTAGAAGAAAAAAAAAATAATCAAGCAGGGGTTTTGTGTGACTTGTTTGTGTTGCTGAAGACAGTTTGAGTTTCCTTTTAAGCAGATTGCTGTTCTATGGGTGTTTGTCAGGTTTCTCTGCTTCATTTCCATTAGATTGTCTTGAGACATCTCAAAATAAGCAGTAAAACACCAGAAATCATTATGGCAAAGCTTGGCCAGCAAATAACCCTTTCAAACGATGGTTAGGAATCGTGGGCTTGGAAACTGGAAATTTTGGGAAATGCTAACAAAGATATGACAAACATGTTGGGCCTGGAAGGAGCTAATGAAGGGTTGTTTTTATTGTTTGCTAACCTGTTGATTCACTTTAACTCAAAGTCTGTCTTTTCACAAAAAAACAAGGGTGTTTTATGCTTCAGGAGAGAGAGAACCAGTGTTGTGATGCAGATCTGTACCAGGTGAGGAGAGCAGCTGCTGTTCAGGATAAGGAATTTGCAGGAGGCTCCTTTGGAAAGCCACCAAGGATCCAGGTGGCCACCTCAGGTGGGACATTGCAGTGGGACAGCAGCTGGTCCTTCTGTGGCCTCTCAGACAGTGGTGACACCATCCTGGGGCACAGAGCTTCTCCTTTTGGGGCTGATTTTGTCCAGCAGGGATAGCTGGGTGACGTAGTTGACGGGGCTGGTTTCTCTGGACAAAGCCCCGTGCTTGTGGGTGAAGGTCAGGTACTCCTGGTGCTGCCACTTGCACAGTTGTTTCTTCAGCTCAGTTTGAACCTACAGCAAGTTACAAACAAAGACAAAATTGAGACTCAATGAACACTGGAGGCAAAATATGCCAAAAATTCTGCCTGAGTACTTAGCCTGTGTAAGTCAGGATTAAGCCTTTCCTGGGGTGACACCTCAGAGTGATGTGAAATGGGAGGAGAAAATCTGCTGACAGATTTCCGGGCAGCTGGCATCAGAGAAATAGAAAACTATAACAAAAATAGTTTTCTCATGAGAAACTCCATAGATTAGCAGAAGAAGACTTCTGTTTCTCTACAAAAGGCTGATGAAAAGACTCTAGCAAGAATTGAAACTGTTTTAAACACCAAAGTTTTTTGTCTCTATGTTATCATGTGAACAAAACAATGGTGGGTAGTGGGAGATAAAAGAGTTTTCTAAAAGTTTATTTTAGTGTCCTTATTCTTGTAGTTTTGTTAATAAACTTTGTTTATTCCTTTTGTTTTAAGCCTGTTTTGCTCTTGTTCTAATCCATATCTCACAGCAAGAAATAAGTAATTTTTTTAGTTACTGCTTTAAAACCACGACAAAGCCTTAACACATTTTTAGAAGAACTCGAGCTCTGTCCTTATTCCTTTTGAAAAGATAGATTTAATTTCAGAAATTCAGAGGATGGCAAGCAGAAGTACATCTGGACATCAGGGCAAGTCATGGGCAAAATGATAAATAAATTTATCATTTTGGTGGCCCCTATTCTGCCTCAATTTTCCCTGTTAACCACACAGACAAAGCCTGAGTACAACTTCATGGATGGGTCTCTGGATCTTCCAAGAATTGAATAAATAAAAGAGAGGTTTCCTCCACCAATCCAGTGTTCCAGCTCTACCCCAGCAAACCCAAGGCCCCCCAGCACTCCTCAGATTCATCCATACTCATAACACCTTGCCTGGCAGCAGCACAGTCTCTCACATTGTCACAGCTACTCAAAACTGCAGCAACACACACACAGAGAAAATAATAATTAGTTTTTATGATTGCAGGGAGCCACGAGAACTGCAGTGCCAAGTGGCAATGAGAAGCCAGGCTGCTCCAGCAGCAGTTATCCTTAAGAAACCTGGACAAAAACCAACCCAGCTTCATCTTGGGGCCAGAGATCAGGCTCTGCCTGTCCTGTTTTAACACCTACTGGATTTCTTTGTTGTGAGGTGCAATATGCAAGCTATTAAAAGGCTGTTGAAACAATTAGAAGGCTTCTGGCAAGGAGTCTGTGGTACAGAAGGCAGGTTGGAAGTAGAGCTTGATGTATTTACAGCAAAGTCTTGAAGGGACTCTCTCAGAATGATCATTATAAGTAAAAAAAAAATATTTTAGGAATTATTCATACATGGGTTGGATGGACAATTGCATCTCCATTCAGCCATTCCTGTGAGGTGCTGGAGTGTGGGGAAATGGAACTGGTGAGGGGTCTGGAGAGTAAATTAGGTTTAAGAGGAGGAGCAGCTGAGGGAGCTGGAAAGGGGCTCAGCCTGGAGCAAAGGAGGCTCAGGAGGAATTTCTGTCTCTGCACAACTCCCTGGCAGGAGGGGACAGCTGGGGGATCGGGCTCTGCTCCCAGGGAACAGGGACAGGAGGAGAGGGAACAGCTTCAGGCTGGGCCAGGGGAGCCTCAGGGTGGACAGCAGCAGGAATTTTCCCATGGAAAGGGAGCTCAGGAATTGGAACTGCCCAGGGGGTTTGGAGTCCCCATCCCTGGAGGTGTCCAGGGAAGGTCTGGAGATAGCACTCAGTGCTCTGGGCTGGGGACATTGGTGGGCATTGGGCACAGCTGGGACTTGATGGTCTTGGAGGGTTTTTCCAACATTAATAATTCCATGTTCTATGAGAATTGTCCAAGTTTAAACCACTGCAGAGACTGAGGCACAATTAGAGTGTCAATCCCAACTAACCCCCTCGCTTTCCTGAGGACGAGATGCAGTTTTACATTTTCTCATCAGTTTTGATTTTTTCTGTGCTTCTGGGGGAAAGTGCCAGCAAATTTAGTGAATTTTTTTTAAATGATAGGCTCACAACATTCTACTGCAGGGAGTTCACCCAAATTCTACCAATGTTATAAAACTAGGAAAAAGTGTTTGAACAAAAGTCCTGGTTGAATGAGCAGACTTGGGAAAGGAAAAGGGGAAAGGGAAGGTGAAAGGGGAAAGAAGAAAGGGAGAAAGAGAAAAGGGAATGGGGAAATGAGATCAATAGAAAAAGGGAAAAAGAAAGAAGAAAGAAGAAAGGAAGTAGGAAATGAAAAAGGGGGGGAAAAAAGGAAAGGGGAAATGAAGAAAATCACCAGGATAAAATAAACCTAGAGAAATTGAGGAGCTCTACAATCTTTCTATTGAGCCATCATCATCATAGCTATCAAACAGAAACCAGGAGAAAAGTCCCCTGACAGGAGAATCAGCAACCATTCTTGAAGGGTCATTGCTTCAAAGTTTATTTTGTGTCCTCCTGTCAGAACTGTATGAATACAAATAAAGTCAACAAAGCTACCGAGGGACACAAAAGGTATGGGGATGCCATGGTTTCAGGAGCAGATCAAAGACAGATCTGTTCTGAAAATAGGAAAAGAAATTAAAAAACGAGGGGGGACTGTGAGCTTTGAAGGTTTTGATAATCTCATGTGCTTGCTACTCACCTCTGCATTTGAGAAGCAATATAGGAGAGCAACAACAAAACCCTAGGACAGGGAGGGTAGGGAGAGAAAAAACATGGATTTAAAATCTAGAATCAATAACAGACATAAGGTTTCATTCAAAGTTTGTGTAAGACAAAAAGGAATACATATTTCCCAGTTTTCTACTGTAGTTCAGGCGATGTTACACTATTTTTTGAGTTCTCATAATAGAATTAAATTGCTCAGTGAACTGGTGACATTTTATGTTTATTATTGCCCTTGTGCAGAGACAACAAGGATTAATTTGTTGTTCATTGTATCCAACAAACAAATTCTCCCTCAGATAAGGCAAGCATGGAAGACAAATAATTTGCAACACAGATCAGTGTGGACAAGTTGTGGTGGGGTACAGGGGAAAGGGGAAGGGAAAAGATCTCAGCTGTTCAGTACAAAATGTACCACACGCAGGCCCTGACCCTCTCAAATCCATGCTGCTGCTCTGAGTAGTGGAACAGAAAAGTAAACAATGAGATATTTGCATGGTTCACTACTCCTAAGGGTAAGGTCAGAGCAGGTTGTTATCTACTTTTATTCACCACCCCTCTTATCGTCATTACACGTGAAATCATTTTCAAACAATTCACCTTAATCCACAGGCTGCTCTTCATGGATTTCTGCCATTGTTATTCCATACAAGTAGATATTGTATTTATTTTTGGTGATTATTCATATGAAATCTGACTCAGGGATTTAAAATATTAAGGGGGCAAGCAACAGATGAGCTCGTGAAGGAGTGAGATGGGATGTGTGTGTTGAATTTGGACACACCCATAAATCCTGCTGTATTAACCAGCCTGAAGTCTGATGTGTAATTTCTCTCTCTTTGCCTCCTTTGGGCTGAATTTTCTGTGGATATAACTTTTCCCTAGTCTCTCAGCCTCCTTTGGGCTGAATTCTTCTGGGATCCTCCCTCATGGGGAGTCCCTTTTATCTCAGTCCTTATTATTCGATGAAAACACCCGAGCTTGTTAGAATCTTGTTTCTCATGTTTATTAAAAGGTCATCACAAAACTTAACAGGTCTCTCCAGGCTGGTTACAAGGTTAATCTTTGCAATTTGGCACATTTCTTTCTTCTGATGGTACAAACAAGGCCTTGTGGCACACTTCGTGTCTGATGCACAAAATGGCCCCAAAATACGCAGTTCTTTTATCTTTATACCTATTTTTATCCAATTAACAGTAGACACGTATATTATTTTTCTTAATGACCCAATGACCCAACACCTCTGTGCTGCACTGTGACATTCTCTATCCAATCACTCACTATTACCCAAAAACCTCTAGGAGAAGAACATGAAGAAAGAAGAAGGGACAAGGGACAACACCCTGAATCCTCCATCTTGTCTCCTATTCTCTAAACTTTTTCACCCAGTGATTAAAAATACTTTCTAATCTACACATTCACACTTTTAGCTTTTTCTATCTAACTTTAACATTTGTTTTCGTGTTTCACCATGAGAACATGCTCATGAATTTCATGTTATATGAAATTCAATGTTTTTCTAGATCTTATAACTAAGTATCAGAAACAAGGGCACACACTCTGTATTCCAGACTCCAACAGGGTGTTACAGACCAAACATCTCAACCTGTTAAACACTTTGTCCATCTTACCTGAAACGAGCCCAGGCCCAGCTCGATATAAAGCCGAGCTTCCAGACCAGTGCTCTCTGGGAAAAACGCAAACACGATGTAGTGCACCCCAAAGAGGGGGATCAGAAGTAACGTGGATTTTGCAAGTCTCCTGGGAAAGCAAGAATTAAAGAGCAATGCACTGTTAGAAACATGGAATGAGTGACAGCAATTACGTGTCGGAACATCTTTTAATTCGGAGGAGAGCTCCAAATGGAGACAACTGCATCCAGAGAAGATATGGAAAGGTCTTGTGACTGCACTTCTGGGATCCCCAGTGGTTGTGAAGGGGTTTGTAACCAGCCAGGACTAGGTTTGACTGCTGATTGTATCCTGTTACAGCAAGGAATTTAAACAAAATTATCTGCATCTTTCTCTATGCAGTCATTTGTGTGGAAAGGACTGGGAGTGAGATGGATTAATCACCTGACATTTAGTGTTCACACTTTCAAGCTTCTGAAGTTCCACACTTTATATTTTGCTTTGCTCTTTGTCCCCAACACATCCAGCCCACACTTCTTTCCCTGAAGAAAAGCAAGATGTGATATTTGGGATGAAAAAGAAAGTTCAAATTGCCATTTCTTCTCTTTCTGTTAGGAGTAAAACATTCTGTTCTCCTACCCATAAACAATTTCTTGCAGAGTTAGAACAGGTCAGTCCTAAGAGACCCAGAAATACTTACACAAAGTGGCTTGAATGGCTCCCTCCTCCCTCTTGGGATTTCAATTTATGGACTAGAATCCTGATCACATTAATGAATATAATAAAGTTAATCTGTAAAGACAAGACAAAATCTATAAATTTACTACAAGCCAGGACATGCCTTCAGTTGATACAAATAACTAAAAATCCCCACTTTTAGGAACTGCACTGCTATAAACCAACTGTTCTATAAACTGAGCTGTTCTCAGCTCAGATCGATGGCTTTAGAAATAATAATTATCTTTTCCACCAAGATATAGTTGTATATAAAATGTTGAATTATTGTAGGCCTACACATTCTAATATCATTTTATGTCTGATATTAATGCCTTGTACTTCTGGTCAGAATTTTAAATTTAGATTTTAAATATATATTTTAAATTATCTAAAAAAACTCTCCCCTGTTCTTATCATTGTTTATGACAGAGATTATATCAGACAAGATCTAAAAACCAGATCTCTCCCTGCCTAAATTCAGGGGGTATAAATTTGTGGATAAGGGAGATTTTTTATTTGTCTGAAGTTAAGAATCATAAGAACTCATTTTAAAAGCACACTAGATAAAATTATCTATATGCAGAAACTCAAGGGAAAATGAAAAACCTTACTAATACAGTCAGCAGGATGGGGCCTTTGATGATCCATAACACCACTCCATTTTCATCATCATCCCAACAGCTGAAACAACAAACAAAACCAGATTTTAATCTGTCCCATGGGAGCTTCCCATAACACACAAAAACACTTCTGCCACAGGGAAGGAAAGTGGTGGACACCAAGTTTTAAATCACTGTCTAAATGTTCCTGGTTTCCATGTAGTCTAATCTAAAGAGAATTTAACCAGCAAGAATTCCAGATCGAAGAACCAAAGCAAAGTAAAAAAAATTAAATAAAATAAGATTTGTATTATCAGGATTCTCTCCTGCTCTTCTTACCACTCTCAACTCAACTTTTTATTCAACTCTCCTGAGTTCTCAGCAGGTGGGTATAAAATATTATCTTTTCCAGCTGATGTGAAAAGATATGAAAGCCTTCAGGATAGCTTACAGTAAACAATCATTCTATCTGGAGCTCATGTTAAAAGATACAGATAAAATTAAAACAAAATAATTGAAACAAAAGAAGAAACTACTTAAGACAACATTGGTTGTTCGGGAAGTTCTTATTTGAAGAGATTAGGGTTAGTAATTTATGATTGGCTTTATACAGAAACAGCAATTTTCTTGAAATACAGTTATTTCTAGGACTGGGCATTAGGGAATTTAAATGAAATTTCAATAATTAATATGATATTTCCAGGTTTTACTTTCCAGTGTATGGACAGAAAAATCACAAGTTATAAGGCTATTTTCTCACTTATAGAGAAGTTGTGAAAATTAGAGGCACAACTTTGGAACATGAGGGGGTTTTCCTTTCTTTTTTTTTTTCCCTATACATCTTTTTTTCCCCTCAGAAAAACAGAACTTTATAAAAAATAGGATGTCCTTGTCTTCCTTATCCCAGCTGTGACTTACCCAGTGTTCTGTTGATGGATTCGTGTGAGGACCCAAGCAAACATCACAGCAGTGGGAGCTCCTGAGCAAATCAACAGCAACACAAGAATTGGCTGGAATATCATGTCCCATGGAATCTTTATTCCAACAGGTTCACAGCACAGGAGGTTTGGATTAAAGGTCAAATTATGGGTCAGACAATTTTCAATAACTTTATGAAAGAATTTAATTTCAGGGAAATTAAGAAATTTAAGTTCAGGGAAAGGGAAAAAGGAATAAAAGGGCAGGAGGATGAAATCATGGCAAAGGAGAATAGGGGATGGTGTGAAATTCTGTTTTCAGAAATAAATGCTAAGAATTACTTGAAGGTTTGGATAGGAATTACGAGCAATTGTAAAGCTGGAGTAAGCACTTATTTAGCTGGGGCTCTTTTATCCTGTGGATTGTGACCAACAAACACCCTTTGTACAGCAGATGGAATAGTTCATTTTTGTCCTAAAGACTCTACTAAGCACCCCAGACCAATCAGTTGATAAGAATTCCATGAAAATTTAACTGGATCCAGGATCCAATAATTTCTAGCCTGACTTTCCCACTGCTTATCTTTCTACCCTTCTACATTTTTCACTGGAGTTTTTTAAGGTCTATAAAGCAGAAACTGATTTTTCTCTTCTCCTGTGGAACTGAATTTCCAAAGACAAAGTGACTTTCAAACCTGCCACAAAAGGGACTTTAATGCAAAGCAGGTGACATTTTCACAGATTATTCTATAGAAATATAGGTAATTTCTTTCTAAGTATCATTTGAGAGCTGTGGGAAGGGCCCAGAATTTGTCCTTCCATATTTTAGCCCTTTGCTCAAGTCATTTAAGCTGGGGCCATGTTAAGTTCAAGTTGGCTTTTTTAATTAATGAAAAGAAATATTTTCCTCCACATCCCCTAAGATGTGAGTTACCCCTGAGGTGTCTCTCACCTTCCATTGACTGCAGAAGGAGATGAGGATTACCACATTATTAATTGAGTTGTTTGCTTTCTTATCTCAAGTTGGCCATTATTAATCAAGGGTTGAGAGTCTACTTTCAGACAATCCTGTTTGGAACAGCTCCAAAAAAAATTTTAATTACATTAAATAAAGTCTAAAAATCTGAAGGTGAAGGATATATTAATATTTATTCAGGATAATTTGGATTTCACTTCTAAATCAAAAAATGTCATTGTAACTACTCAGTTTGGGAGCCTGCATTTTAGACCAGCCAAGGTGAGACATGGGAATATCTGGGAGTCACAATAAACAATTCTGAGCAGTGAAAGAAATCCTATTTATTTCACATTCCTATTCTGAATATCAGAGATAACTTCAATTGCTGTATAACTTCAAAAGATTCCTTAAAGCCAACTCACATGATTTAAGATTAATCTGTCAAATTCCACTTGCTATAAACAAAAGGCAATTTAGTCACCCAAACTTCTTTATTCAGTGAAGGAATTATACATATTCCTAGGGTATTATCCAGCCATATCACTCATCCTCTTGAGGCCTGGATTATTCACCACCATGGTGCAAATAACTAAAATATAAAATATAAAAATGATGTGGCTTTGATGTAGCAGCACTGGATGAAAGAGCAACTCCCCTCAGAAAACACCTCCAGCAGGCTCCTTTTGCCTCAAAACACAGATTTTATCTTTATCAAAAAAAGATTTTATCCAGTTCTGCATTATCCAGAAACACTGAACAGCACGAAGAGGAAGGGAGCACTAACCCCAGCCAGTAAATATGAACCACCACACGAACTTCTTGTTGGAAACAAAGGTCAGCAGCAGCAGGGTCTGCAGGTAGATCCCTTCGATGAGAAGCCAGAAGAAATTGGCTAAAATACTGAATTGGAAGAAGGCCACAGCAGCCTTACAAGCAACCTGGAAGTGCAGAGGAAGAAATGCCTTTTAGGCCTACTCTCATTATGGCTGGTTTCTACAGAAATGCAGAAAAAATTCAATGTTACACCACAATGAAGAAATAACAAAATTTCTGTAGGTTTCGTAATTTAAATTGACTTTATTTCAGATTTTTTAAAGGGAAATATTGGGGTTTATTTCTCACAGATTAAATTCTTTACTGGTAGGAGTAGTTAGAGCTTCGTTAGAGTCAACAGATCTAAATATCAAAGCTGAGTGCAGCCTTAGCACTTGGTCTTTGGGTTTACAGAAATATTATTTGTTTAAAGTTTTCGGTTTTAGCAGTAGGAGAAATAGGATGAAAAGATCTCCCTGTTCCTTTAGGTACAGAATTAATTGTTCAGTCAAGGGTGAGAGAGAGGGGAAGTTTAGTACCGTTGACATGAGGCAGTGGTCCATAGTTTCATCTGCAAACAAAACAGCATCTTTGGTGAAAACAGCCACTGCCCTCAAGATGAAGGAGACAAACAGGTGCATGTGGATGTAATTCCGTGTGCAGTGGAATTTTCTGGCATGGAAAGAGAAAAAAAATTGTTCTTTGAGGGAAGTTCCTCGTGGTCTCATCAAAAGTCAACCAAGAACACAGGAGAGTGCAGACACCTTGCAAAGCAATAAATGAGCTGTCACTATTTGAGAGGCAGTGAGACAGGAGGGAGCAGAGAAGTTGTTACCTTTTTCAGCTGATAAAAATTCCAGGATAATTGTCCTTGGATCACCACACGTTTAAAGGTGATGCCAGAGAGCAACTGTGGGACTCTTGGGCTGGATCGTGATAATACCTCTTAATTATTTTTAATAACTCTTTTGCTGAACAGGTTTGCATCAGGTCAAAGAAAGGAGTGAACTGGTGTCAGGCACATATTATGGGATGGCTGCCAGAGGAGTTGCCCTAAACTGCATTAATTAATGTATGTATTAATCTGATGAGGAGCAGCTGAGGGAGCTGGAAAGGGGCTCAGGCTGGAGAAAAGGAGGCTCAGGGGGAATTTCGGGCTCTGCACAACTCCCTGCCAGGAGGGGACAGCTAAATGGAGCTGGGCTCTTGTACCAGAGGAGGTTTACATTGGATATTAGGGAAAATGTCTTTATTGAAAGGGTTGTCAAGTACTGCACAGGCTGCCCAGGGAAGTGGTTGAGTCCCCATCTCTGTGGGTATTGAAAACACACGTAGCTGTGGTGCTCAGGCTTGTGGGTTAGTGATGGGCTTGGCAGGGCTGGATTAATGGTTGAGCTTGATCTTAAACGACTTTTCCAGCTCAATGTTTCCATGATTCCCTTTCCCTAGGCTGCCCTGTGCACATTTTGCCTTGAGCTGAAGGAATCTCCCCCAAGGTTTGGACACATCAGCCTCATGTTCCTCTGTAAGGGCCGTGAGCTTTGAGACTGCCAACCCACTCCAGTCAGGGGAGTTTGCCCCAACCAAACCCCAGACCCACTTCCTAATAACCAACATCATTAAATGAGGCATTTAACTTTAATTAAATACCTTTTTATAGCTCTCAGTTATGGGAGCAATGGCCTTTCATAGAGGGAACGCACAATTTAGGAAACTCTGGTTCTGGGGTATGGGGCAGTGTTTATGCAGAGTCTGTCCTGACAGGCACTGTAGGAATGATTAAAAAATGTTAAAAATTATCTAAAGTTAGGGCATTTCCACTGTTTGATGCCAGCAAGGAGATTCTAAGAGATACTGCCCAGCTTGATTGTTTTAACATCTGCAGGGAAACACCACAGTGTGACTGGGGGAGGATCCATCACCATCAAAGCTGTTATGTCTTAGAATGATTAGAAAACAACCATAAAAAATCCCCACAAAACAAAACCACAGAGGATCTGAGAGAAAGGCAGCCCGAGAGAAAGCCCATTTATGTTTACCTGAAGGCAGCAAAGACAATTAGAGCTGTAACAAGAGACGTCACGGATGCTGCATAGCCAGCGGTGTAGATACGCCAAAATGCAGAATAATAGGATTTCTGTGGGAAAAAGAGACACAGCCCAGTGCAGGTGGTTGTGTTGGATGCATCCTGGGGTGCTCATTCCCCTGGGACACATTTCCTCACTGGTCAGCCCCACCATCTCTGGGCTGTTTTTCATGCTCGAGTTCTGCTTCAGGATTTTCCTTCCACCTCCACTAACTAGAGTTTTCATTTGAGTCCTACTTAACCCTGCACAGGAGAGAAGATTCACAGCCCACAGGCTCATCTGACCCTCTCTGATATTGTTCAAAAGGAAAATATTAATTTTAATACATAACCACCTTTTCTCATGTCAGTACATAAAAACTCTGCAGCACTGAAACATTCTGGTGGGAGATTTGTGAATCTGTTATTTTAGACCTGGGCTAGATACAATAAGTATTGATTTTCATAAACAGCTACAGCTGAAAGAGAAATAAAACTCTCATCTTGCAGGTGGGGAAGCTGAAACACTGATAAAGAGTTACATCATGTTGTGGAAGTAAGCTAAAGCCAAGAAAATCACCTCAGTCCTTAATTCTCTGGACAAACAGTTTATTCCTTGCTGTATATTGTAGCACTGTAAATTCTTTATAATTCACTTGTTTTCAATTAAAACCTATATCCTAAGAAATCCTAATCCTGTATCCTAAGGAAAATAAAGCTTGTTTGCTTAGTTTTAACCATGCAAATTTTATTCTGATTCACTACAAGATCACCTCATTATTTAAAATCCCAAGAAACTAAATTCTCTGAACCCAGGCAAATTTCCTCATAAACCCAGTGGACACTTTGTTCTCTAATTGATCATGAATCTGTTTATCCAAAAGGCTGCAATTCTAGGTTGGAGAACAAATTAGCAATTTTAAGTAGATTCATAAAGAGATCTTGTAACCCTGACATGATAGGAATCATCCTGCTGTTTTCCTGAAATACTCCTGATCTTTTATACAGTATTTTCAAAGCACAGATGAAAATTAGTAAATAGGTTATTTAATTTCATACTAAAGTGCTTCAATTAATTTTATCTGGTTTTGTTGGATGGATTAAGAAACAACAGTCAATACAAAAGACACCCTAAGTGCTCACTGCAGACACAAAATACAAAACAAGTGGTTCTCTTAGGACACAACTGGGATTTTTACTCACTTCCCTCTGTGTGCTGTGCAGCAGGGATTGCTGATCTTATCTTCCTTTTGTAGTCAAACCTTGTGGATTTGACTGGAATAACGAACTAACCCCATCCAGAGCACAGACAGCAGCTCTGTGCAGAAATCTGCTGTCATGCTGAAATATAAATATAGCTCCTTGCTTGATTTTAGCCTAGACCAGCCAGAAATTATGCCTGGTTTAGCATAATCCAGGGAATGCTTGGAGAAAGACACCTGGAGAGTGAGTTTAGCACCGTGGAGAAACCCATGGGGGCTGGAGAACTGTGCTCCAGAATACACCTGGTCCTTTATGAACCTTGCATCCCTTCTGAGCTGTTCAGATTATTCCCAACATCTTTCTAGAAAGTTTTTAAGCAGTTATTTAAATTTTCTAAGCATTTATTTAAGCTTTTAAAGCATTTATCTTTCCCCAAAGTGCAAAGTACAATTATTCTTATTTATAAAAGGTCATTGAGCTCCAGATGTGAACTCCAGTACGTTGAGGAGGAATGTGGAAATTTAAATCATATCAAGATGTGGATGCGAAAGAAATTCTGAAGCTTAATTGAGCATGAATGATGATTTTCAGATAGGAAAAATATTCACTTTCTGCTCCACTGAACACCTGAGGTGAAGTGTGGAAATATTCAATGAGTTCCTTTCTAAGGGTGTGTGTTGACCACCAAGAAATGTTTTTCTATGACTCGGAGAAAATCTGGAAAACAATACAAATAGGAGGGATCCAAAGGAACTTTCCCTGAAGAAATCCCTGAGGACTGGTGGGTAGGGCTTCCTGGGAGATGTGTGCAAGATGAGGACTTACATCACCTCTGCCAGAGAACCAAAGTCTTTGTTAGTTTGGACAGGTGAACTCAGCATGAGTTTAACACCAAGAGGAGACATTTGGATGAAGAGGAAAGTGCTGACTTCTGCTCCCTTGATTTATGTTAAGCCTAATTCATTAAATAACTTCTAAATATACCTAAAAGTTTTGAGTTTAGCGCTGAAAATGGGTAATCACTGGCTCCTGACAGGACTCAGATGTGTGGAGCATCCAGCTACTCAGGAGAGGGTGCTGTGGAGATGTTCAGAAGCAGGAAATCAAACCCCCACCTGATCCTCAGGTCCTTTACTGGAACCTTCATCAAACCCACAGGCAATGGTGTATGGTGGGAAAGGCTCTGACCAATATTCCTCCTGTGAGCAGTTCCTCTGAAGGAAACCTGCAATGGGAAAACACAGCAGAAAGTTAATTACGGGTGCTGGTGCTGCTGTTCTTGAAGTTTTAATGAGTAGCAACAATTTCTTATTACCCCTTTGAGTCCTAAGTTAGGGACTTACAGGTTTAGTCATGTTCAGTGAGATTAGCTGCAGGAATGACAATATTCTATATATCTATCCATTAAAAAATCAAGGGACATCTTCCCAGTCATTTCAAGATGCAGAGGGACTTGTGCATTTCATATGGGAAATAAACTCTGAAAATTTATTCCTTCCACAGAGGAAATCAAATTATAATTTTATAACATATTTGGGGATTTTGGGCAAAGCCCTGAGCCATTTTTTCCAGACTGGAAGCTCCATACACGTTTTGATCTTGGTCCTGCTCTGACTGGAAGATTGGACTGGATGACCTCAGGAGGTTCTTTCTAATATAAATTAATGTACAGTTTTATAAATCAGTGATTCTATCACATATTCCTCTGTAAATTTGCTTGTCCATCGTATTTAGATCACCAAAGGGACAGAACAATTCAGTAGAGAAGAATACAAAGCATAAAAGTGTCAATATTGACCCCAAGCTGAGATGTATATCTGGATAATTACTGAATGCTGACTGTGATTAGAGCATTGTAAATCAGGAAAATATGAAGGAATCCTCAACTACTAGAATTCATTTAAAATAATAATAATAATAATAATAATAATAATAATAATAATAATAATAAAAAACAGGATAAGAATAGGAAAAAAATCTTGCCGTGGGTACTGGTAAATTCTTCAAAAAATCGTGGGCAGGGAACTTTAACCACTTCCCCAAAAGTGGCTCTGGGCCAGCAGGTTAAACCATCCCAATCTCTGGCACATCCTGAAAAAAAAAAAAAAAAAAAAAGTGACTCAAAATGAAGAAAATCATAGAGAACATCACATGTTTGATCTTCCATAATGAGATTGTCTGTGGCTTTCCCACTCATTGACATGCACGAAGAGCCACAGCAGGATGTGCAGCTCTGCAAACGAAGGAGTGTTTTCCTTTTCTCCTTGAATGTATCCTTGCCCACACTTGGTATTCCAGCTGGACCTTCCCCTCCTTATCTCATGAGAGAATGGACCTGAAATTCAAGCAGACACAACCCGAAAGTCAAATCAATTGGAGCTCTTTTCCATTGTCAAAACAAAAGCCACCGAAATAAAAGTATTGAATAATGATTAGCACTTGAGATTTCTCATTACTCCTTTTTCATTACTTGAGATTCCTCATTACAGAGCCTAACTGAAATACATCAGACTTAAAACTCAGCCCTAACCTCTTTATTTCATGTTTAAAAATCTACCAATTTCACCTGGCTTAAAGGAAATAAGGGTTGAAGTCCTTATCTTAGCCCCAGTCTTAAGCAATCAATGGCATTTTTGCAATGGATTTCCAAAGGGATTAAATTCATCCCGAGCTAGGGGGACATCTCAGCACCATAAAAAATGACCATCACGGGGAGTAGGTCTGACTGGTTGGAATTCATGAGGTTCCCTAAAGCTGAGGCTGCTGGCTGATGACACAAGGTGTGCTTCTGGCTCTGAGTCCCCTAAAAAAGGGTTTTCAGAGGTTTCAATGAGTCACAGCTTTGTCACTGCTGCATCACACCGAGACTTCAAGCTGTTGGCAAATGGGCGTGGGGGCAGCACAGAAAACTTGCCAGCATGTAAATGTGCCTGAAACAATAAAAAAAAAAAGCATCCTGCTCTAACCAAAACTCTTGGGTAGTCATAAGGGGGGTATAAAGCAGAGGGTTGGGTTGGGAGGTGTTATTTTTCTTCCATGATTCTTTTCTGCTGCCTCTGCGATGGATGACGAGGCAAATGTAAAGTTGTCAAGTTGAAATGTGGCAGCAATGCTTGCCTGGAGCTGAGCAGAGTTACTCTGGCTTTCAAAAGGATAATCCTGAGAATCTCCCACAGAATTATCCTCACATCGCCCTCAGGAGGGTGAAATTCTTGGTATAGCAAATTTTCCAGGGAAAATAGAGCCCCTCATTCATTAGCTGTAATTTTAAATGCCTCAAACACGTCAGCTAATCTCAGCTCTGTTCCCTTTATGAACAACAGAAAGAGACAAGAGACTTCCAGAGCTGATTCATCCAAAATACTGGTGGCTTCTTCCTGAGGACAGGATGAATCACACCCTGCAAATACCTGGCTCTTACTGATGCTTCCAGCCTAAACTCAGCTGCTAATTGTCAAATTAATGAAGCCAGGTAATACCAGTCCCACTTAGAGGTGCAGTGGCCTCCACACTCACACTTAGCAGAAGTGGTCCTTCTTAGAAAGGCTTGGCAGATCTGAGGAGCTGGGTCTAAAAATCTATTTTATTTGGCAATGTGGAATTAAAAATTGTAATTGTGTGGCCTTGTGTAGGAACAGAACGTGTCTTAAGTCTTGGAGATGATTTATTTCCAGTGACTTCTACAGTTTATATCAAAGAAACTGCTGAGTGCAGGGGCTGAAAGGGGATTTTTCATGCCAAGGTTTTCAAGAGATTGGTGGAGTCCAAGTCACTCAAGTCTCCATAAAGACACTGCAGCAGGAGCTGCATCTATGGATGGTGACACCACAGATTTTAAAGTCTTATTCAGCAATCCAGGAATTTTTAGACAGTGAATCCAGGAATTTTTAGACAGTGAAGGAAAAAAAAAATAAAAAATGTGGAGTTAGGATTTGATTAATTTGACCTATTTTACACATCTGCCCCTAAATTAGAGGAATTTCACTCTGGGTTCTGCTGATTCCAGGACAAATTCTCTGTGGCTGCTGAAGTTTAACTCTACAAACTGTGATGCTTCTTTTATCTCATTAAATTCCTGAAAAGTGAAACACAAACAATAGACTTTTACCTATCTTAGTGTAGTTTTATCCTCCAGATAAAATATTTGGGATAAATTGTTTTTCCAGCTCTAACATTTAATTTCAAGGTATATTGTGAAAGGCTGCAAGTACCAGAAGATACTTTCATTAAAGTCTTTCCTTATCTGGAGAATAAAAAGTGGAAATGGGAGCTTTGAGAAGCTCAGAGTGGACATGGTTGAAGATTTTTTAAATATTTAACTCCCAGGAATTTTTATTTCTCAGGAGCTCTCAGGGATTTTTATTTCTTTTGCTACAAACAGGATTCTAAAACCATGCAATTACTTTTGTGTTGAAGAGGAAGATGCCTGGAGTGACATCCTGTAATTCAGGTAACAAATAATTTTTGAAAATGCCTAATTTATATCAGAAATTTTGCAGTGGGTTACTGTGTGTTCTAAGTGCAAAATGTGTCCAAGAGATATTTTGGATTTTATTAAAGTGTGTGTGTGAGAAATGGCACCAAAATTAAAAGAAGAATATGAAATATGGGAGTGATTGGAAATTCTGCAGAATAATATGAAAGACAAAGGAAATATTTTGGGGTTAGACTCTCATTTTCACCAGGCTGCTAAAGGCAGACTTCCAAGTGGTTCCAATAATTCTCTCCCAACCAAATGCATGAGGTATCTTTGTCTCATAATTCCTTTGCAGAAAACAAACATCTTAAAATTCATGGAAGTGAAAAATCTCACTGAGGCGGATACAAATTTTTCTAAGCAAAGCTGACCAGAATAAAATATGACTGAATTTTTGAAAGAGTCTGAACATTTTGAAATTCCATGTTGAGTTATTTCTAAGCATGTTTCCACAATTCCAAACCCCAGGAGGGAACATCTTATACAGCGTTCTGGATATATTTTACAGGCTCTGTTATGTGTTCATTTTAGTTTCCTAAATTTACATCTGAGCATGTGATAAACTTCTGGACACCACCAAAATAAATCTTTACAAGCAAACAAATAATGTCTAAAACTGTAAAAATGTATTATTTTGAAGAATTTGGGACTTTCTTTAACTTTTTTTTCCCCCCAAAGAATATTTTCACCAGACTGGAAGGATTCCCAACATGATACAACTTCAGTGGGATCTTCTGTGGGAGTTTCTTTGGAGTTTTGGATGTAAATAAAGAACACACCAAACATTTCAATAATGGGAGACATTCCAAGGCAGGGAATGCCCATCAGGACCTTTACCTTTAAGATCAGGTGAGGCAGATTCGTTGTGTTCCAAGCAGAGAGCCTCCTCTTTGACCACCTGCTGGAATATTTTGCATTCTGGATGGATTCCTGTAACCTTGGCAAGAGAAAGACAAAAAGACCCCAAGGACTTCTGTGATGATCAGAATGAAAAAAGCCAGTTTGTACCTTGTGGTTTATATCTTGAAGTCTGTGAATGTGAAAACTCCAGCTAAAATTGGGGGATTTTTACAAATAGAATGTATAAATGGCAGGAGGAGTCTGTGATCCCAAATAATTATTAATTTGTGCACATTTCATACTGCTTTTTCAGTGTATCATAATAATCAGCTCATGCAGCATCTCTTCTGCAATCTGGGCATTTTTATCTCCTTTGCAGTTATATTTTGCACAAAACTTAAATGACATTCAGAGTTTTTAGATTTTCACTTATTTACCAGCTGGTGAAAATTGAATGAATCCACCAGCTGTGGGTTTATTCACATCAAGTTCTCCAAACTTAAACACAGCCTGACCACAGAAATATTTATTCTCCATAAACCAACTAAAATCAAATAAATTTACTTAAAGAATTATAGTCTTGGCCATAGTTTAATCTGAATGATTGAAAAATTCTATGAATGTGTTATCTGAGGATGCTGCACACACCTTAGACCAGGGAGCTGCTTCCATTTTAACAGCTGAAGAAATGATAAAAAATTAATGATTTGGGGATTAAATTGGGAAATTGAAGGAATTTTTTTTATCTCACAGATAAAGGTACATTTAAACAGCTAAATGTTCATTCTAAATTCATTCTTTTAGCTACAGATATTTAGTCCCATTTATTGCCACGTATTTTGCTTGACCTCCATCTCCCACTCCAGCAAGTTTCATGTCCCCTGTACTCCTGTATCATAACTCCTGTGATTGTGAAGATGTTCTAAAAACCCACACAGCCCCAGAATGACTTTCTCTGCAAAGGCAAATCAACTCTGAGAAAGACACTGCATGTCAGTGTCTACTCTTGATTTGTTATCTCAGCTTCTTCTGCAGTCCTTGGGAATTTCCAGGATGAATTTCAGTCCCCCAGGAACGTCTGGCACTGTTTGGGATGTTGGAAGGCATCTCAGCCCTCTTGTGTAGACCTGCATTCATTTGTCAGCCCCATGCCGAAGTCTAAAATGCATTATTTGATGTCTCAAATGCATTATTTGATGTCTCAAATGCTTCTACACACCCCTCTTTAGGAAACTGAATTAAACTGAGTAAAGAAAGCCACTGAACTGAATTCAGAGAACTGGATACAGGACCAAAGGCCTCTTCTGGGAAATTGGGTTCTTCAAGACATAGAAAGTCTAATATGAGATAGAAATTCTCATTTTTTTTGTTTTGTTCCTTGCTTATTTCTAACCTATCCCATTCAAGACAAAGCCAGGGGCTCAGTTACCAGGGATTTTAATGGAAAATGATGGATTGAAGACTTTCCAACATGTTTTTGAGGAAGACTCCAGGCTGTTTTAACCTCTAATGACTTTGAAAAGTAAGATGTAACCATCACTTCTCTACTGCCTTTTCAACCTCAAGAAAACTGATTTATTGGCCTTCAAAATGTTTTCAGTGAGCAGAGAAACCAGGATTTTTTTTAACCTCCACAGAAATGTTACAGCAAGTTATTCAGGCCATTCCCTCTCAGCAATAATATCTGCAAAGGGGCAAAAATTAGGGCACGACTTCATCTTTAAAAACCTTTAAAAATTCTGCCTACATTTGGGTTTTAAAGTAGTATAGACAGACTTGTCTTAATTATGAGGCCCCAGAGATGGTTCATCCATGCTAATATTAGAACAGAAAGAGGATTAGGGGCACTGTTTGAAAAGAAAGTTAAGAGATGGTGCTTTTTCATGCATTATATTACTCCGGTGGGTAATTCAAAATACATTTTATAAATCAGCATGAGTGACTCTTAAAATAATACTTTTTGCTCTTCAACTCTAGTAACTCAATTCTGAAATGAAAATTTTCAGGTGTTAATAGGATCCCTGCTCATCACTTTACATTTAAACAGACATTTCACTTTGCAGTTTGCTCATACAACAAATGAATTCTCTGAGTAGAAGTAACAAAATAATTGCTCCATAAATCTCACACTATTTCAGTTCATAAAGGTGGATCCAGCTGGACAGCTGGAGAAAGCCATCCCTCTGCTTTCTGGAATTCCTGGATTCTGTTACTGTTGGTTTTGGAATATTTGGAATACTGTTGCGTTTGGAATGTTCTTAGGCTTGATGCTGAAAAGTCATGAAATTTTGAGATGAAGCTGTACCATCTACACTGAGTCCTCTGCTGAAAGGCCTGAAAGCAACAGCCACTCAAAACCCAAACTGAAAACAAACCACAACATTTGAGATGTTTTAGTAAAAGAGCACTGAGGAGAAGTGGGTTAAATTAACTCCCACCTCATGCCAGAAGTGCTGGGAATGGTGGAAACACACAGGATTAGTTCTGGAAAATATTCTGAGGAGGAAGAGTTATCTTTTCTCCAAAAGTCAGCCTGAGAGAGTTCACAGGAATGAGGGACAGTGAGTGAGGGTGCCAGACTCCTGCTCAAGGTAGGCTGCATCTCCTGTCTTCTCTCCTCTGATAAATGCTCACCTGCTGAACCAGAGCCTCAATCACCATCACTCATCAGAGCTGTTGGAAAAATGGAGAGGTTCTTTGTTTACATGGCTGGGGAAGCTCATACACATAGGGAGGTGGCACTGCCTTGGCTTTACACAGAGGAATTGCTAAAACATGTAGTGTCACTGCTGGACACGAAATGATTCACACAGACACAGCTCAACGTGTGTGACAGAAAAAAGAGAGCAGTTTATTCTGTCCTTTCAATATTTACAGATTCTCTACAATGACCAGGGATTGGATAGGTAGGTTACAACCTCCCCAACCACACTGGTCATGAGAAACGTCCATCAAAAAACATTTCTCTAATGAAATGCATAAACATCTATGTTTATAGTTACTTTCCTGAGAAAGTGGCTGGAAACTATAAAAACAAGATCAGAAGGCTTAATTCTTAAAATGACAATGTAGTTCTGCCTCCTGCCTCTGAAAATGGGGATAAAACATCATAAAACATGACTTGATGGTTTCTTTTGGAAATCCTTATCCACTGGTAGTGATACCCAGAGGTTGGGGAGGTGCTGGCACAGGTTCCCACAGAAGCTGTGGCTGCCCCTGGATCCCTGGAAGTGTCCAAGGCCAGGCTGGACAGGGCTTGGAGCAGCCTGGGATAGTGGGAGATGTCAGGAATCCAGCGGAACTGGATGATCTTTAAGATCCATTCCAACCCAAATCATTCTGGGATGCTTTGGTACCCACAGTGGTACTGCAGTCAATCCCAGTGACACTCAGAGCAATGAACCATGGGCTCAAAGTTTGTTTCCTTCTGGGTTTTACTGGATTTGGTGTTGGCAGGGCTACAACCACAGGAATTCACAGAATCAGAGAATCACTGGGTTGGGAGAGACCTCCAAGATCATCGAGTCCAACCCAGCCCCAACACCTCAACCAGACCATGGCACCGAGTGCCACATCCAGTCTTTTGTTAAACACATCCAGGGATGGTGACTCCACCACCTCCCCAGGCAGAACATTCCAGCACTTTATTATTCTTTCCTTTCTCCTAATGTCCAACCTGTATTTCCCTTGGCACAGCTTGAGGCTGTGACCTCTCGTTCTGTCAGTGCTGCCTGGAGAAAGAGATCGACCCCAGCTGCCCACAGCCACCTTTCAGGGAGCTGTGGAGAGTGATCAGCTCACCCCTGTGTCTCCTTTTCTCCAGGATAAACACCCCCAGCTCCCTCAGTGGTTCCTCACAGGGTTTGTGTTCCCAGCCCCTCACCAGCCTCGTTGCCTCCTCTGGACATGCTCAAGCCCAGAATTTTTATGATAGGCCAGTGCAGAGATTAAATATCACTGACACTTCAGGGTTTGAAAATCAACACCAAGACCTGTTTCAGATGTAACCCACAGACTTTCCATTAAGAAACAAAAACAAGGCTGGTGTTATTAATTTGTAATCATGCAGCCTCACTGAAAGTAATGCCACCGTTGGACAGAAAAAAATAAAGAAAAAATGAGACATATACAAGAAACTGAGAGTAGTGATGATGCTTTAATTTGTTTGTTTTCCTCAGGCTTTAAGAAAAAGAAAGACATTAAACCATTGCATAGTTAAAGAAAAGCCTTGTGGGCAGAGCATTACTTGGGATTTGTTGTCTATGGGTTATTTTCTGTTATTAGCTTCACAGTGCCTTGAGTGAAAAGTTTTTGCTCTAATCTGCCTACAAGGGTTGGGTGATGGGGCTTTCTAGAAAGCAGGAGCTCTGCATTTTGTGCAGGGACATATAATGGCAATTTGGGAGGCATCTGCTGAAAAGGTGGCTTTAGTAGGAAAAAGTAGCTCCTGCTCACCATAAAAAAAGGAAAATTTAGGAACCAAAGCAGAGCAAAGCCATCTGAGCAGACATGTCCAATCTGGCACAGCGTCCCCTGACACAGCCAGAGGTGGAAGAAGCTGATTTAAAATGTTATTCCTTGGATCAATATTTCCCAGTATCTCAGCAGTAACCTAGCCTGACTCTCACTGGAAATCACAGTGGGGTGCTTCCATTCCAAATTTACACATAAAACTTAGAGATTTCAGGAAGTGCTGTGGGCAGTCCTCCAGGAATTGAGCTTTGCATTCCTGTGTATCATAACACAAAGGGGGTTTTTTTAACTGGATTGAATATTACTGACCAATTTGAGTCAAAATTCACAGGGGTGTTTTGTCTCTGAATCCTTACCACAATAACAATCTTGCCTGGAACACAGTGACCACTAAAAAATTACCTATGACAATCATGAGAATGCTAAAATCCTGAGACAGTTTAGAGAGACAAATGTGGGGCTTGCATTAACTTTTAGACTTCATTTTCTTCACATCTTGTAGGGTTATTGCACCAAAACCTTAAGTGGTTTATTCACTGAGAGTAGTATAACATTGTTTTCTATTTCCTCTGTTCCATGACTGTTTATTCATTTCCCCAAACCTGCACAGAAAAATCAAAGTAAAGGCACTTTGGGCTTTGATGTACTTATGTTGGACAACAGGAGATTTAGCAAGCACTGGGAGGAGCAGTTCTAGCAACATCCTCATGCCACACTTAGTGCAATTTAATTAAAAGCAATCTTTCCTGAGAGTACATTCAAAAATGGTGCCCCTAAGCTGCAGTGGGGGTAGAAAAACTGTAATTTAGATGTCACACAAAAGGCAGATCTTCACTCATTAAGAAGTCCATTAGCACACTTGGGGAAAAGTAGGGACATTTTCTGTGCTCTCTGAAAATTAGGGAAGTGCTTCAAAGCTGGGCACTGAATATATTATTCACCTTTGAAAAAGCAATTCTACGGGATCAAAGAGCCAGCAGTAACACTCAGCCTTTTTTGAAAATTAATCAAAGCTCGAAGAATTGGCTGAATTCATTGACAAGATGAGAAGGCTTCAAGAACTTGAAGGCTCTTTCCAATGATCTGTTTCAGCTTCCGATGCCCTGCAATCCTAAAGCCTCACAAAAAGGTTTTGTGTACATAAATCATTGACTGAGAATATTTATCACTGTTCTTTCTGCCTCTGTCTCCTCAGCTTGCATTCACTCAGATCCCATCTCAGATATGCTCTGAAATTAATCCTGTGCTCCCAATTCCCTCTGTCTGTGCTTCCCCAGTTCTTCTGATATGACCCTGATGCCTGAATATTTTAGTTCTCCCTCACACAAGGTTGTCTGCCTTTCATGTCACAGATGGACTCCCACCTTGGAGGATTAAAACTCACCTGGTATTTCAGAATACAGAAAAACACAGCAAAGACAACTCCTGCATCCCCATTTTTAAGTGTGGAATGATGTGTTCAGTTAGTCCTGAAAGTTGGCCAGGATTGCCAAAGACATCAGGCAGGAGAATTAGGCTATGCTTTGAAATACACACATTTTTTTAGTGAAATTTTGATGGGCAGGAAAGGCTTTTAGGATGAGGAAGATTCATGGAAAAAAAAAAAAGAAAAAGTTGAAGACAGGTTGAAAAACAGACAAAGAAAACCTCAGTCTTTTTCACAAACTTCCCAGTCTGTTAAATGCATTTCATCTAAACCTTCCATCTGCTTAGCTCCTTCTCAAAAAAACAAGTGCTAATTCAAAATCTTTGAGACTGAGGAGCTCAGGACACTGAAGGCAATTTTCACATTTTGCTTTTTCACATTTTTCAAATTTCCAATTTGCTTTGGAGGGATCTGGGGCCCACCCCAAGCTCCATGAGCTGCTGTCCATTTCATATCAACATTCCCAGTCACTGCAATAAAAACCTTACTGTCCAAGCCCTGGCCTGTAAATAATTCTGGGATATTTATAATGCCGTACGTGTAGCGCTGTGTGCTGTCAGAAAACAAGAAACTATAAAAAAATAAAGATTTCTTGTGCAGTAAAAAGAAGTCAACTCAACTCTTACAAGCTCAAGTGCATCCATTTAGGTTTTTTCCACCATCCCCAAGCCATGTTTACCACTGTGGGCTCTGAAAAGCACCAGGTCACCCCAGCAGAGACAGAATTCAGTCCCCAGCCATGGATTCAGCTCTCACACAAAGTCCTGCCCTCGGCTTCCAGCTCTGACACCATCCTGGCCCCAGAAGCTTCCAACCCCAAAGCTAAAGCCTCATTCCCAATCTTTCCCTTCAGTCAGTTAAATAGATTATTTCAGGAGTCTTTTTGGCTGAAAATGACTACCTAGAGGATATTTTCTGTGTTTGTTTTCCCTCTCTAACTCGATTACCTATGGAAGAAGGGAAGCTGAGACACTGATTGCCTCACAGTCATTTAGAGAAACATATTTTCAATATTGTTTTCAAGACATTGAAGCAATGCTTGAATGCTCCTCTGTGGATTGGACTGTATTTATATGACTGTGTTTAACTGCACGACCTTATAGAGAACAGCACTTGCTATACATATTTATCTGTGTATATCATTATATTTATCCACTCATAGGTATTCTTTATGAGACAGCACAGCCATACTAATTTATTTTGTTTATGAATGCTGTGTAATTAGTATTACCTCGAGAAAATTAATTTATCAGTGCTCTGCTAAATTGGGTAGAGCATTTAATTGTTACTAATGCTTGAAGAATAACAGAACACTAATAACTGAGGATCCCCATTTTCTACTATTGCAAGTATTCCTGTAAATTAAAGAGAAATTTCTCCTTTTCTGTATCACTTTTTTGCCTGCAGGTGAGTTTCATGTCATCTAATCCCAAAGTCCTGAAACCTGGAAATCAAAGTCCTACAGCAAGCTCATTTAATTGATCTGTATTCTTGGAGTGTTTCTATCTCTTCCCAGTAATACTGAAGGAGGCTCAATGAGTAGCTTTAGACAAGATTCCTAATTTTAGACAGTTAATTGTAGATGATTAATCTAAATTCCCCCATCAAGCATCGCTTAATGATCAGTGAAAGCAGACAAGCAGTTCCAGGGAAGGATTCCTGCTTTGCTCAGACACCTGCATGAGGACAGTGACTGCCTGTACAGGAGCCTGTCTCACCCCATTAACTCCCTCCTGGCTAAAAAAAACCACCTAAATCCAGATTATTCCACACATCCAGCTCCCCGTGGAGAGGAACTGAAGGTTTGCAGGGACCAGGCTGGTGGAAGGAGCACAAATTAAACATGAATTTTACTGGGAGCTCAGCACCTTGCCATGGGCTTGGCTCCATATGTCCATTAGCACAAGAAATACTTTGCTGAAGGGAATGTACAGCTCAGTGGTGACCCACCTGTGCTCACAGTCTCACCTCCATTCATTAGATCAGACTAAAGCCCTTCCCAGAAATGGGAAATGTCAGTGTTTGAAGAGGAAAGCAGTTTAGCACAGCAGGAAGAGCAGTGAAGGCAGAGTCTTTTCTGCTCCTTGTCCTCTGCTTCCTGAGACACTGAACTCTTCAAGACAGGAAAAGTCATTTTTAGGCATTTCAACCTCCACTGCTCTCTGTTCCTTGTCACTTACCAGTGAATGGTGATTTTTTTAGTGTTGAGGACTCTATTCTGCAAGGCACAAAATATATCCTGCAACATCCCCGTGGAGCTGACAGGAGGTAACTGTGTACCCAGTTCCACAGAGGAAGTTTTCAGGATTAGCCCTCTGGTTTATTTTCATATCTGATTAATGACTTATCTACAGAATCCATACAGGAATTATTTCTCTGCTCTCATGATCCTTTGAAATAGGAAAGGATTATTTCCTCACTACATCCTAAGAGTCTCAGACCTTCCCTGACTCTTTAACTGAACGTGTAAAGAGACCTAGATTGAGACTCAAACCCCACTGACATTCAGAGCGTTGCCTCTCACCAGACATGGGGCTGATGTTCATATTTTGAGGCCAAAAGCTGTGTAGATCACGCAGTTTATAGAATTTCTTTTCTGATGGGCACAGCCTGCTGCAATATGCTGCAATATTAAAATGATGTATGGCAGATGTGCACCATCCATCACTTCGGCTCGGCTCCACTCTGCTGACAGCTGCAAGAATGAGTTGTGCCTCTATTAGGTGTAAAAAGGCTGGCCCAGATGCCAAAATCACTTTACCTGCAGCAGTCTAACCCTTTTGCATGAAAGAATGGTATTACACATGATAACAGCTACGCTGGAGAGGTTTTCATAGCAGGGACCCACAAGCTGTCCCTTGTACAAAAATCTGTGTGAATACAGAGATCTGTGTAAAGATCCAGAGGTTATGCAGGTGTGAAAATTTACATCCCATCTCTCACTATTTCTAAATGAAAGGTCAAGATCAGTCTGTAATTGATCTGTTTAAAGTAAGTTAAGCTCTCACAGTTATCTGCAGAGGAAAGCAGGCCCTAGAGAAGCGTCCACTCCACCTGGCTTTCTCAGGACAAAATGGAATATTTCCTGGGACGGTGACTCTCTCCCTCCTGACTCCAGCAGGCTCCTTAATCCCAGCCCACGCTGAACATTTCTCTGTGAAATGAGTAAAGTTTGAGTTAACTGGCAATCACACCCAGAGGAAGGGTTCTAAACACTTCCCTGAGGCTGAGGATTGAGGGCAAGGAAGAGAAATTACCGTCCTTGGATTTGCACCAATTTTTGTTTAGCATCCCAGGCAATGCCAGTGGTGGAGCGTGGAGATCAGGGAGGGATAGCCCTGCCTGGATTGTGTCCCTGTGCTCATCCATCTTCCCTGTGGGAAACCTCAGCTGCTGCCCTCAGGCATTTCCAGTGGCATCACAGTTCATGCTCCTGCTCGGTGCCATCAGAAACCTTCAGCACCGAAACCATCCGTGCCCTCCCAGAGAGGTAAATGTCCCCCATCCTTCAGGAGGAACTGCTCCTTCCCAGTTACCCTCCTTGTCCTGCAAAGTCGCCTTTCTCAGGACAGCCGGGACAGTGACCTGTCCCTTTCTGTCTGCTACAGCCATTCTGATTTAGGGATGCTCTTCTGTCCTCTGCAATTTTAGTGAATAGAAATGAAAAGACATTTATTAACAGCATCCTGAGGTCGCAAAATTTTAACTAAAGGGGCTAGGTCAACACATTAACTCAGGGGTATTTATTTTTTTTCCTTCCCTCTAACATCTCTGTCTCATCATTTTCTTTGTAATCCTTTCCCTGTTTTTCTTTCTTTCTGCCTGCTCCCTGTTCAGGAGAAAAGTTACCCAGCTTCTGCGGACTCTCCCCCACCCCAGCTGCAGTGGGGCAGCTGCGGAGCCATCCAGCTGTGGCCGGGAGCCAGATGTGCGGTCCCCCCACCCCCGCGGGCACTCACTCACTCACCAGCGGGAGCAGCAGCCAGCGCAAAGTTCGCATCCTCCGCAGCAGCGCCGGCTCCTGCCGCTGCCTCTGCCTGCTGTGATGCTGCCAAACCCCGAGCTCTGCCCGCCCCCACCTGCCCAGGGCCCGCCCCGACAGCCCCGAGCCGAGCGGAGACCCCCGGCATCCCCCGCAGGCTGGGAGGAGAGGGAAAAGGGCTCTGCAGCATCCCCCGGGATGAGGATTCAGGATTCACCGCCGGGCTCCGGCAGGGAGCTGGGGCAGCAGCGCTCACCCTCCCACTGTGGGGATGCTGCTTTTCCAAGGATCCGGGCTCTGAGTGGAGGATAAAGTTTGAAGAATTTAAGATATTAGAAAAGCTAAGACCTTAATTAAAATTATTTTTTGTTAAATCGAATGAAAAACTAGTCCTTGTAGTGAGGCACTACTAGAATTAGGAGCTAATCATTAGCCAATAACTAATTATCTATCAACCTTATGTTTGTTCTGCTGGGCTTGCAATGAGAAACAAAGAATCTTGTGAGGAACTTCAAGAACACAAGACAATTGCAAACCAGAAACCAATTGGAAACATGAAGCTAGGGACGTGGCCAGGGGTTCATTTGTCACTTTGGATTGAAAAGGTAGAAAGGTCAGAATGAGGAAGAGCCATATCCCTTCCTCCCTGCCATGACCCCCACTCATAAAAAGACCACCGACCCATTTCAAAGGACAAACTATGAATGCTTAATTGCATTTTTCTAATTAGCATAAGAAGGGGAGAGTGGGTGGTAACTGGGTTATGAGTATGGATTTGGATTCAATATTTCTGTAAATAAAAAGCCTGTATTCACCTGTATTTGGGGCTGTGTGAATTAAGGGGTGACCCTGCACATCAGCCCAGCGCTGCCAATAAACACACACTCTGTAACCCTAATCAGTTAAAGAGTCTTTGTCCATCTCAGCTGGACACTGATACTAGATCATATCCATATTTTGGTAAATCATGAGTGGCTCTGACAGTGTGGGATCCCCTCTGGGACTCAGAGATGGAGTTTCTGTGTTTTGGCATCCCCCTCCTCTCAGACAGAAAATCTTGTGCAGTGACAGAATTTTCCTCCATAACTTGAATAAGATATTTTTGGCCCCTGTGTCACAAAGATTTTTTGAACTCAGGTTTATTCTTGGTGCTAAGAAAATTAAAACTTTTCTTGCCTACACATCATATTTTTTGGTGGAAAAAAGAAAGAGGGGGGAAAAAAAACCTCAGGGTTCATAGGACCCAGGCACCATCTCTGGTTCTTGCCCCACTGAATATTGCTCTGAGCTACTTTCAGGACCTGGGAAAACCAAAATTATGACCATGACAAAAGCAGTTTTCCCTGATCAGACTGAGGTGCTGTTTCATATCCTGTTTATCATTCATCATTTTCCAGTGGTGTTAAGCACACAAGTTCTGTATAATCAGGAGATTTGGGGCTTGTCTAAGTTACCCCAAAATAGGCATTCAATACCACCAGAAGAAATATTGATTTCTGCAGCTTTGTCCCTGGGTGTACAGCTTTTTTGCAAGTCTTGTGTCTGGTTTTCCAGCTACACCTAAATATTTCAGATATAAAATATTTGTAATCAAATTCTCATCTAATCTTCTCTTTTCTATATGTTTGTATTTCATTACTGCCAAATGGCACCTGATCCCTGACCTGCACAGCCTCAAGTGTTATTCCAAAAATCAGATTTGTGAGAAAATAAAGAGATTAAAACTTTGGGGAAAAAAAAAAAAAAGTCTGATTTTGACTTTTCCCCCCATCTGTAATGAATAAGTTAAAACTGTGGCCACTTTCACTGGTCAGCAAGGTGGTTCCTGTCACACTGGAATAATTTTAGGACCCCACTACAAGGCAGGCAACACATGGTGTCAGGCAGTTCCTACTTCTAATGCAAAAAAAAATGCAAAGTGCAGCCCTATCAAACACCCTCAGGACAGGAACAGTTCATAATCCCTGCTGAACTTCATCCAACCAACTCAAATATACAAGATCAGAGAATAACAGAATAATTTGGGTCAGGAGATGGAGCTCTGGCCCCAACCCTCTCCCCTCACTACTCAAATTTCACGGCGTTGTTGCTCAGGAATTTGTGTTTCAAAGGGAATTTCTCTCAGGAGCCACGCTGTAAACAAGAAAATGCCACTGAAGGAACACGTGTGGCATTCCAGCCTCCAGTATTTCACCTGGATTCTATTATTTAATGCTTTGAAGGTCACTTAAATTAGTTTTTTCAGGTCATCACAACCAGCTTGGAGCAAATGCAAGTGTGAACCACTTTTATTTATTTTTTTTTTATTTTTTTTAACATAGTTTTTTGTCATGAGTATTTGCAAGCAGTTTTTAGGAGAAAGCATTGCTTGTTCAAGCAGACCAGATCTCTCAATATTTACTTTCTCATACATTTCCTCTCCTCCATCTGCTTTTCCTAACCCATCTCCAGCCGATCAAAAATGCAGTCCACATTCCCATCCTTGAGATTTAAATTAATTAGCTGGAAATTCCTCTTGTAAGAATATTTTTCCATCCTAATAAGGAAATCAATCCTGTTTTTATTGGGTTTTTGTAACATTTCATTGTAGTTAATGTTATGAACCTCACCTACATTAAAGTCTCTGATTTCCTCAGTCTTCTAACATCCCTTCATTACTTTAACCAGATCCTTAAAACCTTATTTAGTCTAAAAACTAATTTCTGTTCATCATATCAATTTGCTCTATTCATTTTACTCTTTGCTGTTTCTCTGTATGTACCCAAAGATCCGATAATGAAATAATGCAGGAAATAAATTATATTTATTTCTCATAAAATTTTCGTATGCTCTGATTCATTTTGCTACTTTTTGTCACAAAATAGGTCCTTTCCTGATAAATTGCCTCTAATTAAGCATTGTTGTTTTTTTTTTTTCTCCAAGAATTACAGGATAACTAATCAAAGATAAGAACCACCTTTGCTTTACTGCTGCTCCACAGCATCAACCTGGGCTCAGAATACAACAGATGTGCATAAAAACATCCTCTTGTTAACAACAACGAGCCATTGTGTTGGTATGAAACTTAATCAATGAGGCAACAGACCTGAGATTCCTCCTAATCCCCCTCGTGGATATTCTGAATCAATTGGTGCCATTTAATGAAAATTACTTGACATTTGCTGAGCTGCCGAGCACCTCTGTGGAAGCTGGAGAATGGGGTTTCGATACCATATGTTACCTGAAAATGGGTTTTTCATAATAAAAACCTTCCTGAAATGCACCTGTATTTCCTCTACCAGGCTGGAAAATTGGGTGCCCCAGCCCCAGGCTGCAGCATGAGCCATCAGCCAGATCATAAAGGTGAATTTATTGACATTTCTAAACAATCCTTTGATAAATCTGACTAAAGATGCAAAACAAAAAGCCCTGGGATTATGAGAAGGAGGCTGCAGTTACAGACAGTACATAATTCAGTGCTCAGGCAGAACATGGAGTTACTGAGAAACATCTTGTGACTGTAATTAGCAGCAAAACTTCACGGTATTTAACAAAAGGAGGTTATAAAAAAAGGCTGGAGGTTTTATTCCTGAGAGTGATCTCTGAAAAGGGATGGCACCAAATATCAGGTGAGTGCTTGGAGCTGCACGAGGATAATTTATCCAGTTGATGTTCCCTGTAAACCCTCCCTGTGTTATCTCCTTACTGTTTTTCTTGGATGAAATTGACTGCTGCCGTGTCCTGGGGCTCTGTCTCCATATGTGCCCATATTTTGTTCCTGTTCCTTGGCCTGACCCCAGGGACACCTCCAAAATAAAGGCAGAAATCACAGAGCCTTGGATTATGTGGATTCTGTCCTACCTGTTTTGATCTGTAAACTTAATTTCACCCAAGTGTCTAAGGCGCTTTGTGAATTTGAAAAACATATCTGGTTTGTACTCATCTTCCACAAACATAGTATTTAACTCTTTTAAAAATAAACTCCTTTAATCTTTCCAGCATTTCTACTTGAAAAAAACAAATCTGTCAGCGATCCCTTCTCTACTTCCATTTTACTCAGGAATAAGCAAGTTATTTTTTCCAACCTAAGGGAAGTAACTTTTCCCAGTGACACACAATGAAATCTTCATTCCTATTAATAGTCTCTAAAGAGTTGACAGACCAGCTGTTGCTGTCCTCAGAAATTGTTTTATTCATTGCATTATTCATTGGTTTCCTTGCTTTCCTCCGGCCACTTCAACTCAATTTCAATTCTGTTTCTTTTCCAAGAAGAGGAGAACAACCCTGATTTTTATTCACTAAAATGCAGGTTTAAGACTCAGCTTGCTCTCTTTCTAAGGGCCAAGAAAATATTCATGTTTCCACTAGGTATAGATTGAGCCTATAAAATCGGATTTGGGTAAACAGGAATAACCTATTTTTAACAACACAGAAGTCTAGTTACTGGTGTGTACTGGTCTTTGCTTCTTTTATGTTTAAAAGAGAGATTCATGGAATTCCAGGATGGTTTGGGTTGGGAGGAATTTTAAAACTCATCTCATTCCACCCCCTGCCATGGCAAGGACACCTTCCACTATCCCAGGCTGCTCCAAGCTTCATCCAACCTGGCCCTGGATGCTTCCAGGGATCCAGGGGCAGCCACAGCTTCCCTGGGCACCCTGTGCCAGGGCCTCAGCACCAAAAGGACATCTTTTTTCCAGAGTTTTCCCTCTGATTATCCCAATTTCTCCAATGACTGCAGAGGGGATTTACCTCACCACCCTACAGCAGTACTCGTCTCACCCAATTTCAGACATCAAGAATGCAAATGTGAACTGATCATTCTGGGTTATTTTCACAGTCACAGACACCAGTGAATGCAATCTGCCTGACATAATTTGGATGTCTGTGGAGGAAAAAATAATAATTTCCTCAGGGCCTACTCCTCTCCACCACCATCTCTGAAAGGAGGGAAGGGTGAGAGCTCAGCTCTGGGTGCTTGCTTGGGGGGTGAAATTCCACACACTCCACACTTTGGGTTATGACTGCCTGATGCAGGCTGGGTAAGCTGGAAAAGTGAACTCCTCCCTCTGTGGTTAAT